CGGCTTCCTCGGGTGTGGTGCATAACCTGGCTCTACGCGGTGATCCCTAAGGAAACAGTCAGGGGGATGTAAAGTACCAGAACGGAGAAACTGAAAGGAAAACGCTGGGCAGGTTTGCGAATGTGTGCTTGGGCGTGCAGGGTGGCAGCAGGCGTTTTGCTCACAGAACCTGCTGAAAATGTGTGGTTCCAAAATAACCCTGGAACCCAGGCCAGGGAGGCAAAAGTGCACGGTAAGACGTCTGCAGCTTTGCTGTATGTAGAACAGGTTTTCAATGCTGCTGAACGTCCAAAGCTAGAGTAATAACAAACTTTTTTTGAGAGAGAGAGAAAACAACAATCAACAGATTATTAAGCAATACGCAGCCGCCCTGTGTTCAATGCAAACTTGAACAGTCCCACTCAAATGGAAAAGGATTATTTAGAGATGAGATAAAGGATTGAATAATAAAATGCTAGAGAAATAAAATGCTATCGTGTCTTCCGAAGAAGATGTACCCTTAAATCCCTGTGTCTTGCAACTGTTCCTGCACAGCCAGTCCTGTTAGGCTTGTTTGCACTTGGAGACTTGCTTCATAACCCGAGAGTAAAGAGCATGCAGTGGAGAGAACAGTAGGACAAAGGTGCGGGTTGGTTGAATAAAGGAAGAGATTGTTTAGAAAGAGCAGGCTCAGAGGTAGAAATACTCTTGGTTTGAGAGGAGGGCAGCGGCGAGCGGCCAGGCGTCAATAGCAGTGTAAGGGGAAGATGAGGGCCTGGGGCGCACGAGCTCGCATGCGAGGAGAGGAATGAGCAGCAGCTGGAGAGTGCAATGACAAGTAGCTGGGAAAGTCGCAAAAAAACGTGAGGGAGAAGATGAAGGATTTGAGTCTCTCGGGAGAAGAGAGCATTGACGATGGTGAGGGCGTGTAGAGCTGCAGCCCTGGTGAACGCCTGAGACCGCCTAACTGCCTGGCAGCACGGGAGGCGGCGGCGCTAGGGGGTGGATGGTGACAAAGGGAGGCGACGGGAAACAAGAATGGCGCGCGCCTCCCTCGAGCCTTGCTCAGGCCCTG